ATAGAACCCAACAAATAGGTTCCATCGAACCCAGCTCGATTCACTTAATCAATTGCCCAAAAATCCCTGCAATTTGGATAATCTCTTGGCAAATACAATCATATAAAAAAAAAAAAATCAGTTGCCCAAAAATCCCTCACAACAACCTGTAATTTGAATAATCTCTTAACAAACAATCATATAAATAAAAAAAAAAAAAGTGGAGCTGGGTTCTGAGTTCCGTCGAACCCAGCAAATTCGGTTCAATGACCCGAGGAAGAAGAGGAAGAAAAAAAAGAAAAAGAGAAAGGAAGAAGATGAACGTGATTATTTTATTTTATTTTTTTAAAATATAAATAGTAATCATGTAAGTTGGCATGAAAAAAAATCCACATCAACACGTTTTCAATTTGTTTTTGCCACGTCATCAAAAAAATTATAAAAAAATGCCACATAAGTGAGTTAACGATCGAAATTAACAGAAGGACTAACGGAGTACATTTCTTAAAGTTTAAGGATAAAAAAAGTGCAAAAAATTATTAAGGGACCAAAAATATGTAACTCACTAAAGTTGAGGGACCAAATTTAGCATTTAACCTTACCATTTTGAAGGTGTTTTGGAGTGTTGAGTGAGAAAGGCAACCTTCCCCCATTCATTTACCATTTGGTTAAATGCTTAATTTGGTCCCTTAACTTTATGAAATGCACATTTTTGGTCCCTCAACAATTTTTTGCACTTTTTTGATCCCTCAACTATTTGAAATGCACTCCGTTAGTCATTCTGTTAATTTGGGCCGTTAACCCTGCTTATGTGGCATTTTTTATATTTTTTTTTATGATGTGGAAAACAAAACTTAAAAAAGTGATGATATGCATAAAACTTTTGCCATGTCATATGTTACCCTGACGAAAACGCGCCAAATCCATCCAAATGGATCCCACCTCACTACTAAGAATTGCTTCTTTACCCATCGGTTACTGTTTCTATTCTTTCCATAAACAGTGTTCTTTTCATTTTCAAGATTGAAGTTCGATAGAACCCATCAAATAGGTTCCATCGAACCTAGCTTGATTCATTGAACTCAATTGCTCAAAAATCCCTCACAACAACTTGCAATTTGGATAATCTGCTGGTAAACAATCATATAA